GAAGGCGAGAGACACCTACTCTACCTAATGGCTCTGTGCATTTGTTCATGCCTTGTCTCCACGTCATCTGTTGACCTCCAAGTGGTTTCCTACAGCCCGGATTAGCTACAGCGAATAAAGCGCGGTGCGGCAGACGATGGGTCGGTATACGCAATACGTGCCCTAGCCAGCGAAGCCTAGTAATCTGAATTCGGTATGCTAGCAGGTTTATACCTGACAGACTCCCAAATAAACGACGGCTTACCTCCACGTTCCTAACCCGTTCGCTCTATCCAACATGGGCTAAACTGCGTAAACACCGATAATCGACTACTTCTAGTCGATGAATATCTTCTACTCGCAAATTCAGGACCCCACAACCATAAAGCAGGACTGAAAGAACGCTAGCACAAAAAACACGGCCTTTCAACTTCAGTGAAACGTCGCGTCTACGCCAGAGGTGTTTCAGTCTTGCGTATGCTGTTCTAACCTTGGAAATGCGGGTGGTTATCTCCTTTGCTGCACTACCGTCATTGATCACGCAACTACCTAAGTAGGAAAAGTAATCCACCACAACTAAATCCTGACCATTTAGTATCAGAGTGGGAGCAGACGAAACCCAATCCTGCAGCATCACTTTGCACTTAGAAGGTGCAAAATACATGGCGAATGTGGCCACTCCACTTGTCAGTCTATCAAGTGCACTTTTCTCGCCCTCCATACATTCAAACAGACAGACGATGTCATCGGCGTACTTTAAATCACACAGCTTTTCTCCACCTGCCCATTTAATACCTACGTCTTGGAGTCCATTTAGAGCGCTCTCCAGTATTTCGTCTAGGACGAAATTGAACAGGAACGGCGAAAGAGGGCACCCTTGACGAACGCCGCTGCTGGTGACAAACAGCCTTCTTAGTTCGTTGTATACTCTTACACGACCGGAGGTATCTGAGCACAGTGACGTCAGTAGGTTAACGTACTTCTGGGGCATTTTTTTTTTCGAAGAAGGGAGCCCATGAGAGCTTCGCGGTCAACTGAGTCGAAGGCTCCTTTCAGGTCAAGGAACACTGCGATCGTTGCAGCCGGTTAGTATGATGCAGCTGAAGGATCTGACGCAACGTAAAAATTTGATCAATGCGTCCCCGGCTAGGCCGGAATCCGGCTTGCTGTTCACGGATGTTGGTCTCTCTTAAAGGCGTCAAACGTCGAAGTATAACCGAAGCTAGCACTTTGGTGACGATCGGTATCAAACTGATTCCACGGTGGTTTTCGCAATCGTTGCGGGATCCTTTCTTGAAAATGGGAACGATTAGTGATTCGCCCCAAGATGAAGTAATGTGCTCTTGCATCCAAATGTTGCGCAGTAAGGTGGTAATAGAGGTTACGAGGTAATCACCTCTCATTTTGAAAAGAGTGGGATAGAGCTCATCAGGTTCTGCTACTTTTCCTCGCTTCAGAGATTGAATACAAGACCGAACTTCTGCTTCCGTTGGAGGATCGCATGACACTACCCACGGGGCTTCAGTCGGAGAGG